GATTTTTCTAAACTGATACTCTTGTACCTTACATCGTTTAAAAAAAGAAGCCTCGAGCTACTGTTGTAACGGATGTAGTAATTGTTTTTTTCTTTTCTTTTAGAGATACAAAGGAAGTTGACAATATGAATTCGTAGTTGTTATAGTAGTGTAAGGGTTATGGAATGTTTGCGCTATGAAGATTGCAGCCTACATTATACGTTGGTAATTAGTAGTACCAACATTTGAAATAATTATGAGCCCTCCATTTTATTGCTCTGATGCTTATAATTGCCGCGCAAGTTCTCATAGGACTGTAATTATGAAATGTTGGCAACAAATTGCGGGCACTTAAAAACGGCTTGGGAATTTCAATTCTGGCTCTTTTATGGTCTTTGATGTGAAGAAATTACATACTCTTTTTATATTTTTTTAGCTTGGAAGGCAGATGCTGTTGAAATGTCTATTGTAGTGTATACAATAGTTATTTTTGTTTACACAATAGATGTAATGTTTTAAATTGTAGAGAGTTCAATTCATACTTGGATGACAATCGATATTATCCTTTTATATTTATTTTTCCAAGACTTGCAAATGTTTTGTGTATGGAATATTGTAAGAAATAAGAAATAATTTCCATGTTATTTTTCAAATTGGTTCATTAGTTTTGGAGCCAAGTTAATGCAAACAATCAAATCTCTCCTCTTTATAATATTTTAGTAAAGATAGAGCGTAATAATAGATTTCACCAAAAAAATTATAACATTGCCATAATATTCATAATTGACTGAAAATTCCCATTTTAGTCAAGGTCGTCCATCATTTAAGTATGAGAAATCGGAATTTGTAAAATGATAAATTTCTTCCATATTGGCAAAGCAACTTGAACAACAAATTTTTCCTATCGAAATCTATGAAAATTATTAGATTTACGGCGAGATATTTTCTTAATTTGTAGTTTTTTGTCAAAATGCAGTATTCGTTTGTTTAAAAAACTACATTTAAATTTGAATTTGGAACGCTCCATCACGCTATCTTGCCACAGCACCGCAGGGCGCAGCACTGTCTACGTGCTTAAGCTTATGTAGGCGTTAGAGAAAAAAAGCGGTTCTATATTCAAAGTTACAATAACCAATAGCGAGCGCTGTAGGCGGGGCAGGCCGCTGCTATTGGCGGAGCGCGCTCGAGCTAACGATGCGTCGCACGATTACGACGTTACAACGCTTTTCAATCGTTACGCGACTTGCTTTATGGCGGGGATTTTTATTTCGTTGTCACTAGGTGTTGCCATTAGTTTTACCAATGCCATCTGATTTTTTCTCAAGTTTATATAATACATATTTTAAGCAGTAATAAATTAAATAATGGCTTATTACTAGTAAGATTTTCGGTTTAAAAATGAGAGGGCATGAAGCCGTACTACTTCGACCACAAACTCGACAAATAAAATCCTACTGACCTATATTACAAATCCCGACGGAAGTTTAACAGTCAATTAACGGTTTATTAATCTATCTATACATGTAATAAAATTGGAGTGCCTGTTTGTAACATCAAAAGAAAAATTACGGATTTCGGGAAGATGATGCATTTGCGTTGCTGATAACAATTTTTTTTGTCTGTCTGTCCGAAAGCCGCATTTGATTCGGGTAATCTCCGAAACGGCTGGGCCAATTTCGACCGGACTTTCACTAAAACATAGCTGACGTAGGCATATTATAGGCTACTTTTTTTTTAAATTCCGCGCTGCCAAAATGGCGTAACGGCATCTTAAAGCTATACCTAACGTATACATTAATTTTAGTAGCCAATCGCGTAATTTAAAAAAATCAGATAAAACTGTCGATACTAATCATAATAGGTAGTTGTCGTACTTAATGTAGTATCTATTTTTAGTTACTCTTGTTGAGGCTTTGGTCTAGTCTAGACTCTAGATTTAGTACCTAAGTGTACTTTGTGTGTAGTATTTTAAAATCAGTAACCTCTATGGCTCAACATGTAGAAGATTAACTTCTCATAAAAGAGTATTTAATCGTCCTATTATGAATACGAAAAATTACTTTAATTTTTTACAAAAAAGTGACATGGTCAAGAAGGGAGTGATGACTAAGGTGACGGATGATAGAGTTGTTTGGAGGACGAAAACCCGGCGCATACGGGAGTAGGATAAGCTAGGAAATTGAGCATTTTAATTTTTACAAAACCTATCTAAGAAAGACGAAGAGTTATTTAAACTTTTAAAAGCTTTTACGGAACATCAGCGCTTATTTTAAAAATAAGCATTATAGCTGAGTAAAGGCCTTATCCATTCAGCACTCTAAAGTTAATAAAATATCTGTACAACTTTTTTTTTATACACTTGCTAATTATGTATGTGCTTTTTGTATATTCCATTATTCTGTTGTTCTGTGTCTTAGCATGTATATGTTTTATTATTTTTATTCCCTCAATTTTTTATCTGCTACTGGTATGTTGTTTTACGTTCTGAATGAATTAATTGAGTTATTATTGTTATTATTATTTAAATAGTATAAACATAGTAATCTGAAATACGTCAATTGAATTGTTTAAAGTGCATCCGTTTGTTCGTAGCGGTCTCTTGTCTTTCACACGTCTGTAAATAAAAAGAATGGACACTTCCAACATGAAGTGCATCTTAACAGTGTGCGAGGCGAGTGATGTGGAACTGAGTGTCCTTTGGAAGCTGAATAGGTCTTTTATTGTCGTCTCGGACAAAGGGAAGTCGTAAAGGAGGGAAGTGCGGCGAGGCGCGACCTCCTAAGCGCTAGTGATGTGCGTTACAATTGTCAAACTTATCAAGTCTATTGACGTAATGTCAATTGACTTTTTTCATGCGTCTTGAATGTTTGTTATTAATTAAAAATTTGATTTTCTATTTACATTTTATAAGAAGTGGGAGGAAGATAGAACATGATTTACAACTAAGTGGCTAACGCCTGCGATTTTGACCGCGCATTTTGTAAATACACGAAAAAAAGCAGCATAACCCTCGGGAACCTGATATTTCAAGTGTGACGGACTTAGTTTTATATCTCTGTCAAACTACAATATGATATATTAAACCATTGCAGAATTATCGATTAAACATAAAAAACAAAATTAATGTATGGCACGGGAACCGTAACTACATATATTCGGTATCGAAAGTAGGCTGTATGTCTTCCAGACTACATAGGTTTCTCATCTAAATCAAATTTCATCGAGATCTGTTAAGCAATTTACGTGGTAAACTCTAAGAAACAGCCATTTATCCATTGATATAAACTGTCACATTTATAACATAGTAGTTGTTTTTCGCGTCTTCGTCTGCGTAGAAATAAAAATTGTAACAAATATAACCTATGTCACTGATAACGTAGCTATTTATTGGTTACGAGCTGTCGACCACAAACTTCGTTAGATCGGGTTTTTTAAAAAGTAGCTTATAATATGCCTATCAAACTCAGCTACCCACCAGTAAAAGTTTTTTTTTATAACATAAGGTGGCAAACGAGCAAGCGGCCACCTGAATCCGTCAAAATGGCGAAGCAGCAAGCAACCGCTGCCCATAGTTATCCGCAACTGCAGATGCGTTGCCCACCCTTATCTGACAGAGGAGGAGACGCACATAAAGAGGATATTTCTCCTTCCTATGTATCTCCTCCTCTGTCAAATCCACTCCCCTTCCCATCCCCTCTTTATAAGAAAAGGGTGGTAAAGAGAAAGGGACTCAAATTAGGCCTCCGGTACCATACTCATCAGACGAAACACGGAATTGCTTACATTTCACGCCTGTCCTCTGTGTGGTCGTGGTATTGATTGCACCGGGCGTGCCGGCCCATTCGTGCTAAGATGTTAAAGCGGGCACTACCACTGTTAAGTCCCGTCGAAATCGGCCCAGCCGTTTCGTAGATTTGAAATTGGTCCTGTAGTGTTAAAGTTCAGAATAGTTACATGATACATATTTAGAAGGTTTGTTTTTGGTCTTATCAAATAATATCTGTTTATAAGAGCAAAGAATGTTCCTAATAAACATTGCTCGTGTCCCATGGGATTGTTGGCGCTTGTCTCCTGTTTATAATGAATCACAATCATTTAGTTTACATTATCGTTTGACGTAAACACTCTTTAAGATTAACGCGCTTCATAGAAACGTTTATTTGTGGTCTCAGTTTACAGTTCCGGGCACTGATGTATTGTTAGCGCTAAATATAAATGACCGATTTAATAGTAGGAGAGCTCTGTCTATATTATCTATACATATAATAAAATTGGAGTGTCTGATTGTAATATCAAAAGAAAAATTCCAGATTTCGGAAAGATGATGTATTTGCTTTGCTGATAACGAAAATCGCATTTAAAAATTTTGTCTGTCTGTATGTATGAAAGCCGCGTTTGTTCCACGTAATCTCCGATACGGCTAGGCCGATTTCGACCGGCTAGCATGTTTGTAAATACAGCTAGTAAGCTGTTGCCCGCGACTTGGTCCACGCAATTATTAAGATAATTAGGCTATTATATGCCGGTCTATGTCAGCTACCCTCAGTGAAAGTCCGGTCGAACTCGGTCCAGCCATTTCGGCGATTACCAGGAACAAACGCGGCTTGAGGACAGATAGAAAAAAAAAAAATGCTGCAACGCAAATACATCATCTTCCCGAAATCTGGAATTTTTCTTTTGATATTGCAAACAGACATCCCATCTATAATATTATAATAAAGCGTAAACAAACGCTCCTTTGTTGCCTAAGATGTCAGCAATTACGACATATTTTTGAATAATTCTTTTTTAACAAAAAGCCCTACACTTATGTCATGCTTTAGGCTATATGTTTTCACACAATTAAACTTTGGGGGTAAATATTTTGGATAAAAATTCTAACGTGGAAAAGAGACCATAAGTTGCTGCCAACATCAAGGAAGCAAGTTTGCCGTGGTTTGTCATCGTCATGTCATTTTGACATTTGCAATTGATAATTTGACACAATGAAATAACTTAACCGTTTATACTATTTGTTACAGCGGTGTCACTTGAAACTTTGGTGGAGAACTGTCACAGACTACTGGAGAAGTTTCACTACTCGTGGGAGATGATGCCTTTAGTCCTGGTCATCTTTAATTATGCTGGCAGCGACCTTGACGAGGCATCGCGAAAGATAGATGAAGGTTAGTGCCATAACTGACACAATTACCGTCACACTCATTTACTTAGGGGAACCTTAGTAAAGTATTAATGAGATGTACACTAAGGAACCGCGTAAGTAAATGAAGTGTGGCAGTAACGGATCTTATATGTTATTTTGCACCGCGAATTTTATGTTTTCAATGTGATTTTTTATTATTGTTTAATGTCTCAAATGGTTAATTAAATTAGTAACTTTATATTACTAGATGCTTCCGTGCAGCTTTCCGCATGATATAATAATAACTATATTTGATTTTTTACATTCCGGTTAATTGTAAAAATCAAAATTCTAAGGCCCAAATGACAACGAAGGTCTTTGCCTTTGGCTAACAATTACCGTTACCATGGCAATAGGGAATATGCATGTGTTTTTTTTTTCTTTTTTTAAACGATTCTACTTGTTATAAAATGACCAGAAAAAATTTACGCGAAAATATTCAACCATTGAGCTAAAAATAATAAAATAAAATTACGACCATTTTCGAGCGACTAAAACGCGACCGGAGTTGTCATGAGACAATTGACGTCAATCGTCATATTCCATTCATAACATACGCTAAGATGTCACTTCGAAGTAAAAAACAACAAAGTATCTCATTGCTTCTCAAGGTCAAAAAGTCAAAAATCGATTCATTTTTATAATTCCTGACACAAATAAGTGGTAATTAATAATTCTATACATCATTTTTTTATTATAAAGTTGGTTTTGACATCGTGTTTACAGTAAAATACTTTTAGAGTGTATTTATATATAAACTAACGTAAATGATCTGTGTATTAACAACACAGCGACGCCATATTGGATAAGCCACTTGCACTAGAACTTAACGAGGAAATTTGAAAAAAAGACGCTTTTTAATGATTAAATTTTGCCACTAAATCACATGATATTAAAAAAATCTTTGCAGGCATGTTTTTATAGTAATAAAGTATACTTAAAAAGTTTGGTACAGTTTGGCGTCATATGCATGTTGCCTATTGTACTTCTTTGCTGATATTGACTTGTGGTTTTTGTCCTTTTCTCCCATGACGGTTATACCCAATTTATTCAACCCCTAAATTTTATATCTGCTGATATTCTACATAACAAAGAAGTGTTTGTTTACGCTTTATTAAAGTCGTATAAATTTAATTACCATTTGAGACTTTTTAATTTAAATATTTTTATTGAAAGTTTTCATTAATTCATGTTTTTATTCGGCTCAAGAGTACTTTTAAAGTAAAAAAAATTTCCAATTGAAGTCACCTCTCGCTTGTTTACCACCTTTTAATGAAAAAAAAACCGTGTATGAAATTGAGTAATCAGAGATAGACAAGGTAAATCCTTGTTTGCTTGTTATTGTGATAGCTTACGGAAGCTATTGAAACGAATATTTTCATCTTAAGCGCCGTTTAAAAAGTCGCAAATTTATAAAAAGACAGAATTTAATTGGATTGTGGAGTTTAAGACGCGGTTTTATTTGTCCATGTGTCGTTTTATTACTCAGCCGTTATTGTAACCTTCCTGCTTGTGCTGAGAATTTCCCTTAATATTATAACATCTTAAACATAAATACTCATGGTAGTCTGAAATAAATTATGAAAGTATATTATTAGTTTTTACAACTAACATGAATTGTTTGAATACTTTTAAAATATTTAGGTTTATTGCAATAGCATTGCATTTTATGCGATTGTTGAATTTATATTTAAACTGGATTTGTTTTATTATCATAAAAATTACAATATTTGATGTGATTCATCAATTTTTAATTCAAATAAAAAGACGAATAAGAAGTAATAAAAATATTAAGTCAAGTTAAGATAAATCCAGTTCTTTGCAATGGCGAATTATTATCAAATTTCAAAATGGAAATCCTTTGCTGTATTTAACTATTGAACTTTGTAAAGAAACTATACTTGGTACTGTGATTTTTCAATTTTCATATGTACATAATTTACCCGACGTTCTTACGGTAAAGGAAAACATCGTAATGCCTGCACATATCGGCGAAGAAATTCAATGATATGTGTGAAGTCAACCAACCCGCACTTGGCCAGCGTGGTTGATTTCGATGAAATTTCGCATAGATGTAAAATATAGTCTGAAAGGACGCATAGGCTACTTACTATTGTTTTCTTTAATACCACGAGGACGGGTCGCGGGCAAAAGCTAGTTTGTTTATAAATCTCTCAACCGAATCTCCGTCATTGTTTAATCTCTTTGATTGAATAACTTAACCCTAACTTAACACTCCACTTCTTAACGACGACGAATTCAATCTGTTGAAATGTATTAAGCCAAGAACATAAAAATCCTAGCTCGAGAGGCAATCAGACTTTTATGTCGCTCTCTTGCGCAAACAAATAATCTCATGTTTTTCTCTAATTTGCCGAAGGTATTTATATATCTGGTCAGGGTATTTAGATTATTTCGTTTAAGAAATTCTAACTTAGAACGTCTAAAAGGTATCATCTCATTGTATTTGATACTGAGATAATGTTAAATTTTCTTATAAATATTGTCACGTTATTCTAATAAAATCCTTAAACTTTAAAGACTGCATTTTTTATGTTTATGTCCTTATTTAATAATCGGTCGTTCTTTGGTGGTATCCCCAAACCAGTACTATTCAGGGTCCTTCAAAGCGAATCTACCATTTCCACAAAGGCAATGTATGTGTGCTTAGTTTCCTTAGAGTTCAGGATGTCCATGGGCGTCGTTGATCACCTCGGTGTTCCCGACGCTTGTATCTATCTCAATTCAGATATGTTATTCTCTTTAGATATCCTGTTTATTTATTTTCTGATATGAAACAGCAAATGATTTTCATTTTTATACCAACATTGGGTCGTGTTGATCGAAAAAACTGCGCTAAATATTCTCTACATAATCACATTAAAAATGTTACACGGAGTAACGAAATAAACTTGTTGTGAACGTTTTAACATTCTCGATATTTTTAGCACAATATTTGTATTCGACGTTACATAAAACATGTAACAGAAAATCTATAATATACAGTAACTTAGTCAGTTTACTGTTTTATTAATAAGCAGTTTTTTCTTTGAATCGGCCCGCGGTGCGTTTAAAAACAAATTATTTGTTCGCAGGAAAGCTCATCGTGAACGAATACGCGAGGAAGCACAATTTGAACATCTTTGATGGTCTCGAGCTGCGGAACTCGACACGCCAGTATGGACTTTAATACAGTAATAATTAGTTGTTCTAAAAACAAAACGAACATACAGACCAAAGACATTAAAAAATGTACAGACGAGGCATAATAATCAAAAATTTTACCAGTACTTTCTCTGACAGGTACTATATCAGTTGTTAAGTTTACTACGCCACCTCGTATCCTTGATAAACTTCATCTTTTGTTCTAAAATGAACTAAACAGTGTTAAAAATAAAATACAAACATTTAAGTATGATTTAACATTGACTGTTCCTGTGCGACTTCATCCGCATGAAATTATAAAAAAAATATTTCATTGTTTACATTTGTCAAATTAAAAATGACATGAAGTGATGACAACTTTGCTTCCTTGATGTTGGCAGCAACTTATGGTCCCTTTCCCACATTATGGTTTTTATCCAAAATATTTACCCCCTAAGTTTAATGGCGTGAAAATATATAGCCTACAGCATGATGTAAGTGTAGGGATTAATAAAGAATTATTCAAAAATATCCTGTTATTGCCGACATCTTAGGCAACAAAGAAGTGTGTGTTTACGCTTTATTATAATATAGATCACCTATTCACAATTAGTTTAAATACAATTTATTACATTTGAAGCGTGGCTTTGAAGTAAAGTGTCAATTATGCCTCCTCTATATATTTTTGAATCTGTTTGATACATACATACAATTGCTACGCTTAGGTACACAACAAACAAAACTATGCAATCACAACAACAGACCTGGCGTACACCTGTGGTAAACTATCGCACAACTGTTGTGCGGTTGTCGATTGTTTCGCAGCAAATTCAACTGTTTAACACAACTAAAAATCGAGTAGTGTGCGCATCTCCATATAAGCTTATCGGAATCAAAGCGCGACTAAACAGTTGTGTGATGGTTTAGTCAAGGGTGTTCATGCTCTTATGCAGATGAAATTAAATTCCGTCAAAGATTATGAATAATTGAGTTAATTTTCCCGTTGTCGAAATAGTCAACACTCGAGCAATTTTTAAATTTATTTGCTCATTTCTAAGTAGACATTTTGATTAGTAAAAGTTAAATGCTTGTAGCATAGAACCTTTTTAAACTAATTGTCTTTAATAAATATAGTAATAAAATTACACAAGTATTAAATGCAAAATATGTCCAATTATATTCTGTCATAATAAAAATATGACAAATCCTTAATTTGATATTGGTCGCTAAACATTACATAAACTGTAAAGCTGATTCTTTTAAATCATTGTTTAAATGTATATCTATATACATTTTACAAAATTTTCAAATACATTCTCCTGATAAATGGGTTAACATAAAAATAATAGATTATTTTTCCCCAACCTAAAATTAAAGTAACAATGAATTCGGGAAATGATTCATAGAATGTGACACTGTTCACAATTCCACAGAGTTTAAATTTAGAATTGCGAATGCGAATTCGCAATCATAAAACCGTTGTAAAGATCAAACATGAACATGTCAGCCGTTACTGGCAACATTCAAAGGTGACGTTTATGTCGGACACGGCCTGCGTGTCGTTGGACATTGCTAATAAAAGCTTATCCCAATTAAGTTTTAACTGATCAACTTATGATTTAATTCTTGTTACTATAACATTCTATTAAAATTGATTAAGTAAACGTCATCATTTAAATTCAGTTTCGTAACCAAAATGATAACACATACATAACCAGACGAAAATGTATTTGCTTTGAAATAAAAAGTTCGTGCATTTAATTGACTGATGACAGCCGTTAATTTAATGAAATTAGTTGAGTGTTTATAACAGAGTTGATTCTACCATTTATATTTAAA